AGGCAGATTTAACAGCAGGTACATCCTTCAGTATTTACAGTTTATGTTCAATGTTTACATCAAAACATAAATATTTATCCTTTTTTTTAAATCCTGAGTGTTTGTGTTTACAGGTCAGAAACACTCGTGTCTGAGCTCAAACAGGAAGTCAGAAAACAACAGCTAAACATTAGCTAACGATCCTAAAACAGTAGCTAAAAAGGACAAAATGATAGCCGAATGTAGCAGAACTGTGACTAAAGGTAACCCAACAGTAGCTAAAAGCTAAATTTAAAAGAACAAGAACAGAATTTATGGAAACAAATTTAAAAATTAAAAAAACTAACTAACTACTGCAGCCAAAATGGCCAAAAACTGTCAAAAAAAGCTTAAAATACCAGAACTGTAACTTAAAGGAGTAAAAAAGCTAAAATTAAATGAACAGCAACACATATTGATGCTAATTGTTTTGCAACACCGTAACTAACGTCAGTTAAACTTATGCTGAAATTAGCAAACCACATGCTAAAGCTAAAGCAAAACAACTGCATGTGTCTACCAGAGCTGTAACAAAAACTGACCAAATGGTGGCTAAAACTAGCTAAAACATTAGGAAAACAACAGCTAAAATTAGTCAAATGTGGTAAATCTAAAAAGAAATGGCAATGAAAATGAGTAGAAGTGATGCTAAAATTAGCTAAATAGATAGAAAAGGAAAAACTTATTTTAGCCTATTTATACCAAAGCTGTAGCCAAATGTTACCAAAACAGTAGCTACAATGTTAGCATGGCAGTTTGGTAAATAAAAGCTAAAATTAGGGAAACTTTAGTCAAAAGTAGCAAAAGTGTCTCTAAAAGAATCAAAACAGAAGCTAAAAGTAGCAGCTAAAGCTAAACTGAGCCCGTTTGACTGAAGAGATTTCAAATTGTTGAAGGTTTTGAAGAGCTTTTCTCACTGCTGTTTGTTTGTTTGTTTGTTTGTTTGTTTGTTTGTCAGCTGAGCTGTATGTATCTGATAAATGTGGCAGCGATCAGGACGGAGACGGTTCCGAGCAGAAACCTTTCAAATCTGCCCTGAAGGTAATCTTGTTTACTTTAACCTGTAAACAAAACTGTTTACAGGATTCTGTTGTTGTTTATTGTTTTATCATTTTGTTTGTAAACAAATCCCTGCAGGCTCTGTTGTTCGTTGGCAAGGAGCCGTTCCCCACCATCTACGTGGAGTCTCAGAAGGACGGGGAGGTGGGTTCAGTTRTGGTCTGAAAGGGTTTCGTTGTTTTTTGTTTGTTTTTGTTGTTTTCTCATGTTGTTGTTTGTTTGTTTGTTTGTCAGCGATGGGCGGTCATCTCCAAAACACAGATGAAAAACGTAAAGAAAGCCTTCAACCGTGAGCAGATGAAGAACAACGCCAAAGACAAGAAGGAGGTTTGTGGTCCAGAGTTAACCGTCAGCGAGCTTTTATTTTGAAAGAACTGAATGTGAAAACAAATCAACATTTTAATTCTAGCCGAAGTTGTAGGGAGAAGCGGTTCTGCAGCTGAAGATTTTGAATTAAACTTCCTGTCGGGTCAAAACGATGATTTAAAATCGGGTTTTCTTGTTCAGGCTGAAGACAACGAGAGGCGAGAGAAGAACCTGGAGGAAGCCAAGAAGATCCTGATCGAGAGCGACCCGAGTCTGCCCGAACCAAAAACGGTTTGTTTCCAAATGAGCTGAACTTTTATCAACTGAAGTCTTTATAAGAAAACTAAATCTGAAATTCTGTTCAGCTCTTTAATAAAAACACTGAATTATGAAGAATCTAAAATGAGTTCAAATAGAAACAGCAAAACAGAAGCTAAGAGCCTGAAGCTGAAGAACGTGGCATAAAGCAACAGCAAGTACCAGTGGAAGGCTAGCTCAAAGCTAAATGTGGCTAAAGGCTGGTTAAAAGGTTTAAGTATCAAAACATGTAGAAGTGTGAAGTAGCAAAATGTTATGGATAAGTTACAAAAAGGCTAGCTAAATGTTTACCAAAAGCTAAAACTAGCAATAGCCTAATTGAAAGAAGGTAAATGCTGCCTAAAAGTGGCAAAAGGCTGGCTAAAAGTAGTAAAAGTTTGGCTAACAGTAGGACAAAGGTTGGCTAAACGTAGTTAAAGGTTGGCTAAACGTAGGTAAAGGTTGACTAAAAGTAGGTAAAGTTTGGCTAAACGTAGGTAAAGGTTGGCTAAAAGTAGGTAAAGTTTGGCTAAAAGTAGGTAAAGGTTGGCTAAAAGTAGGTAAAGGTTGACTAAAAGTAGGTAAAGTTTGGCTAAAAGTAGGTAAAGGTTGGCTAAAAGTAGGTAAAGGTTGGCTAAAAGTAGGTAAAGTTTGGCTAAACGTAGGTAAAGGTTGACTAAAAGTAGGTAAAGTTTGGCTAAAAGTAGGTGAAGGTTGACTAGAAGTAGGTAAAGTTTGGCTAAAAGTAGGTGAAGGTTGACTAGAAGTAGGTAAAGGCTGACTTAAAGTAAGTATAGCCTGGCTAAAAGTAGATAAAATCTAGCTAAAAGTGGGTAAAGTCAGGCTAAATGTAGGTAAAGCTTAGCTTATATTAGGTAAAGTTTGGCTAAAAGGTTTAAGTATCAAAACATTGCTAGAAGTATAAAGTAGCAAAATGTTTTGTAAAAGTAAAAAAAAAGCTCATATTTAACCAAAGCAGCTGCTGTTCCAGCTCTTTATCTAATTTATCAAATTTATCTAATCTTTTTAAATCTAAATTCCTTCTGGGATCAATAAAGTATTTTTGAATTAAATTAAACATCTGACTTCTGTGTGTGTGTGTGTGTGTGTGTGTGTGTGTGTG